TCTTGTCTGCCAGTTTGGAAGACAATTGATCATAAGTTATGCTAAAAACCCCTCAGCTGAGTCAGTTTTCTTTTTCAGCCTAGTCGTTGTGTCTCCTCGGAAGACACAAATTCAAACATGCCCTAAGGAGCAAGTATGTTTGTACTAAGTGGTTCTTTATTTTTATCAGATTAAATAAGTTAACTTTGAACATAAACCAAGTTCAAACAGCTTTTACTGAAAATGTGGCTGGTTTACAGCTAAGCCCACTGAGTAAAAGAATTTTAGTGCCATATTGACTTGAATACTCATTTTCTGAGTTGTATTTCTTGCTGTGTTTGATTTTTGCATATTGTGAAGATGGGGAAGATAGAATAAGAATCTGTAATTTTTTGGTCCTGCGGTATATTCTACAGTAGATGTCATAGCTTTTATGATAAGTGATAATGTTACTATTAACTGGCTTTTTTTAAAAAAGCCAGATTTTAAATTTCAGGATTGTAATTTAAGTGATGAAAAGTAAGGGAAGGTAGGTTCCCATGCAACAAAATAAAAGCAAGTCCTAATGGAAAGACAGTGCAAGGATGAACATAAAATATTAAAATGCACAAAAATGGTGCTGAGTCAGTCAAGTGTCTTCTCAAATTTAAGAGTGTGTCTCTGCCACTAGCTACAGGCATGATTATTTTGAATTAGAATTTCTTTAAAAGCCCAGTGGACTTGAAGTACGTTTTTAATAAAACCAGTAGACTTTTGATAAGTATAACTAACTAAATTTTGTCTGTTAATAGTAGAATCAAAAATATTAGTAGGATTACATGTGTGTGAGCTAAGATAATTTTATTTTTAAACAAAAACTTCAATTTTTTTTCCAGTAAGGATGGCGATGACAAGAAAAGGCCAGTGATTATTCACAGAGCTATTTTGGGATCTGTGGAGAGAATGATAGCTATTCTAGCAGAAAATTATGGAGGGAAATGGTATGTGGCACAAATGGAATTCTAAAAAGACTTTGACAATGTAGAAACTGCATAGAGTTCCTATTATCCCACATATTATAATGCAAAAATAATATCTCTACAATTTTCTCAAAATCAGTAAGATTGCGAGAAAAGTCCAGTTTTCTGGTCTGAGTTGTATGATAACCATACAATTTCATGACACTGCAGAAAAAAAAATAATGTAGAAATAGGAATTTCAATTCAATTGTAATTGAATGTGTAAGTCCTGCATTATTCTTGTTCCTTTTTTCTTAAAAATTGTGGTTTTGTACCAGCAGGATGTCAGATGTATGTATATGTAAGAAATTATTTGTGTATACACAGACATTAGTTAATTGTAATATGTGAAATATTTTTGTACTTCTAAGATTGATCATTTGATCTTGAGTAAGATCTAGAAATATTTCTCCATGAATGTATTTAAATTACTAAGGAAGAGTTAATTCTTATTTTCAGTTACCTGACTGTCCACCTTCACTGCAAAGTTATAGATAAAAGCGAAAATTATGCAGAAAAAATTATGTTTAAAGTTGTGAAGTCATCTGGGAAGAAAATAGAAGGTCCAACTTCCCCATATGTCATTTTACTGGAATGAATCTTTTTGCTATTTTATGTGAGCTTGAGAAGAGGGAGTTAAAACACTATCCAACATCCTTAGCTAATGTAAATAATTCTATACAGAAATTATTATTGTGGAACATGACTATGGCTGTGACTGGAAATATAAAATGCACCTTTGTTTCCTGTTTGTCCTGTGCTGGCCAGGCCATTCTGGCTGTCTCCACGGCAGGTCATGGTTGTGCCTGTGGGCCCCACCTCGGAACAATACGCCCAGCAGGTGAGAGGACAGCTTGCCTCCTTCTGGCAGCAGGCAGAATTCATAGGTCCTCAGTGCTCATCCTAGAACAGGGAGTTAATGCTTAATAACTTTGGAGATGTGTGGGGGGAGAGGTAAATTTTTCAATATAAAAGTTTCAGTCCAAAATTTGTATGTGTCTGAGTAAGCAATATGTAACTTCAAGTATTTTGGGTTCTTTGATTATGTAAATACTTCTGTAATTATGAAAGGCCAAAGCATCCTGGATGACTATTGTAAATGTAGGTGAACCCGGTGGGAAGAAATGATGATGTCTGACTCTTGTTCAGAAGACTGAACGATTTCTTTATTATAACCATACTATAATACATTAATATACTATTTAAAGGAGATACTAAAACTACTTACTTTTTCTAAGTACCATATCTAACTCAAACTTGTGACCCTCTCCTGAGAGTCCAGACACAGATGGATTGGATTGGCCATCAGGCTCAAACAATCCTCACCAAAATCTAATCAAGCAATCACCCCAAGTAAACAATTCTCTAAACACATTCTACATGGGAAAACAAGGAGCAGAAATTATTTTCTCTTTCCTTCCTCTGTGCTCCTCTATGAAAAAACCCTGAGAGAGAGAAAAATGTGCCTGCCACAGAAGACAAACTTTATATAACTAATGCTTCATTACAGTACTCTCAGCTCTAAGTAGGCAGAGCCAGTTTCTTCCATTTCCCACCATGGGTATTCTTGACTACATCACTTAAGAACCATGGTTGGTTTTACCCCTGTCCCATGCTTTCATTTTAATGCAAGAATAAATGTGTTTGTTCCTTCTCCTCTTTCTCCTTTCTCAGACTGAGAACATGTTTTTGACATGCAGTAGCAGAATAGCACATGTTTGATATAGATGGTATCTTATATTATCTCCCAGCTGGGGTGCTGCTGTGTGTGCAGGTTTCTTCAGATAACTTCACTGAAATCCTTATCACCCACAAGAATGAAATTATGCATATGCATGGATTAATTATTGGGAGAGATCAATAATTGCAGCATTAGAAATGTATGTTGTAAACTACATAGTAATATTAACAGGATTTTGGTTTCTTTGGATTTTTTTTAGGTTTGTGATCAATTTTTTGAAGCAGGATTTATGTCAGATGTGGATCTAGATCAAAGTTGCACATTAAACAAGAAAATTAGAAATGCACAGCTGGCTCAGTATAACTTCATTTTAGGTAATTGCAGCATGCTACATTTCTGAATATCATTTAAGTTCTAAGGTTGGACAAAGTTTATTCTAGGTTCATTTTCTAATGTAGATTGTGTAATATTTTGTGCTGTCTTGCAGTGGTTGGAGAAAAGGAGAAAGCAAATAATGCTGTCAATGTGCGAACAAGAGACAACAAAGTTCATGGAGAGATTTCAGTATCTTCTACTATTGAAAAGCTCAAGAAATTTAAGACTTCACAAATTGCAAATGCAGAAGAAGAATTCTGATATTGCTGCTAGGAAAAAAATATTAGCTGTCTGTGTGAAATGTTTCTTTCTTCCTGCACAGCAATGATGCTCATCTGAGAGAATTTTCAGTTACTAGATACACAAAATAAGCAAATGGAGCACTGTTGGTGCTTCAGGAAAAGCACGAGAGGACAGATGCATCTGCCAACTCCTTTAACAATCACATTGGTTTCCCATCTGCCTGAATTGCAGAATGCTTATTTAGAAAGTCCTACAGCTCTGGTGTGGTGGGTTTGCTGTGGAAATAAGTCAGGGCTGTACCATGGTGGGATCAGGAAGCCAGGAAGGGCAGGGGATGCTGCTGGGAGGACTGAGCTCCCTCAGTCACGGAGCAGGTACCTGACTGTGACCTGGAATCCAGAGCTTGGCAGTGCATATGTGCCTCAGGAGCAGTCTGGATTAGGTTTTTTCCTAGCTCCAGATGATAATAAAAATTTGGGGGGTTGGGGGTGGGGGGGTATGTGAATATTTTGGTTGTTTCAGATTGTGTGTTCACAGAATATGAATGGAGTCTTTGTTGGAAGCCTCAGTGTAACAAGGCACTCATGGAGTTGGTGTGATGACTGGCTGCTGTGGTGCTGATAAGAATGCGGTTGAATTACTGTAATTTTGTGTGATGTGGTTTTTTTTTCCTCTGCTGTTTTGGCTTTTTACTAAAACTAACAAAAAAACTTTGAAAAGCCTTTCTGTGTGTAATTACTTTATTTTCTGGAAGTAGAGTGCTGAAAAGGAGCAGAGGACAATTTTAATTTTAAAATAGTATGCTGAACTTGAAACTGGCCATATTTCTGTTTTGTTTCTGCTTAGAAATTATTTTTAAAGTTGCTATTGCAGGCATTTGAACTGGAGATTATTTTTTTGAGAGATTCGTTTTTACCTTTTTTATTTTAATTTCTTTTTTACTTAATTACTTTTATTTAGTTAACAGGCTTAGAGTTAAGTGTATTGCTCAGTTATCTAAGCTATACAGCTCTAGTTGTGATTTAAATATCACAGTCATCAAGCAGAAACTACAATTGCCACAAATACAAAGCTTATGTTTTACTTTTGCCTCACACTCACAGATCTGTGTTTAATAAGTCTGTGTTTGGTTTTATATTCGTTTGGGTTGTGGATCTGTGTTTGTCTCCCGCTTCTGAAAGACAAGGGGGGAAAAAACCAAACTTGAAGGAGCAATGGGAAAGCTTTCCGTTCCACTTGACAGAATTAACACGGGGAGTGCCGGGCGATTTTTATTTCTCTATTTTATACATACATGCATTTTAATGGATGATCACTTTCGTGCTCCTGCAGCGCTGAGGCTCTGAGGCTGTTTCTCAGCCCCGGGCTTTGCCGCTCTCAGGGCGCTTCTCAGCCAGCCCCGGGCTTTGCCGCCCTGAGGGCGTTTCTCGGCGAGCCCCAGTCTTTGCCGCTCTGAGGGCGTTTCGCAGCGAGCCCCGGGCTTTGCCGCTCTGAGGGCGTTTCGCAGCGAGCCCCGGGCTTTGCCGCCCTGAGGGCGTTTCTCAGCGAGCCCCAGTCTTTGCCGCTCTGAGGGCGTTTCGCAGCGAGCCCCGGGCCTTGCCGCTCTGAGGGCGTTTCGCAGCGAGCCCCGCCTTTGCGCTCTCCGCCGCCGTGCGGGGCGGTCTCGGCGCCGCCGCTCCCCGCAGCCTCAGCCGCCCCGGGCCGCCCCCTGGCGGCGGCGCCGGGCCCGCCGGGCGCACCAAGATGGCGGCGCGGCGGTGGCGGCGCGCCCTGCGCGGGCTCTGCAGGGCCGCGCTGTTCCTGGCGCAGCTCTCCGTCCTCTCGGGCCGCGGTGAGAGCGGCCGCAGCGCCGAGACTGGGCGGCGAGGGTGGGAGAAGGGACGGGGACTCTGGCTGGGGCCTGGGGTGGGAACGGCTGCCCCGAGCGGCAGCGGCCGCTTCCCGCGGCCAGGACGGAGCGGGACCAGGCGGTGGCCGCGGTGGGTGAGGATGCGCTGCCGCGCCCCTGACTGGGGATGAGGCGGGTGTTTCGGGCGTGGCCGCGCTCCGTCGTGCCGGCTCTGCGGGGCTGGGGCTGAGGTGCTCGGTGTGAGGGCAGAAGACGGGCCAGGCCCCGCTCCGCCGGCTCGTGTGCTGCTCTGTTACACAGCGCCTTCTGTGCCTGCTCTCTGCCGCGAACGTGGGTGATGCAGAACGGCCTGGGGCTGCTCCGCACGGTCAGGGCGGGTGGTGTGGCAGAGCCGCCTCTCCTTCCTCCCCGTGCCCGGTGGCTGCCGTGAGGGCTGGCAGGATGGAGCTGCACATCGCGGCTCTCCCGAGCCCTCGGACGGCGGCTCCCGCAGAGACAGCGCGCAGTACGAACGCAGCCGTGCCTCCCGAACGGGTCCTCTGCTCCATCTTTCTGTCAAAGAACTGCTTACATTGCTTCATTAAAGGGTATTCTTTAGTAGAAAACCCTCTGTAAATCTGCTTTCTGAGCAGTGCTTTTACTTCTCATGAATCAAAACATAAGATTGAATGGAAATAAATGTAGTTCATTGTCTTGGAGGAACAATTCATTTCTAATGCTCTTTTTAATGTTTAATATAAATATCCCACTATTAGTAGAACAGGGAAACAGATTTTTTTCTAATCTCATTACACTTTCCACTTGCATTTTCGTGTCAGAGTGCTGAAATCAAACTGTTTCTAAAGATGAAATTTGTTTTAGAAATTTTGCTTTCTCCATGTTTTTGTCTTGTAGCGGGATCTTTGATGACAACAAAGCTTTCACAGCCACAGTCTACACTGGCAAAAAGCCTAACTTCAACAAGTACAAATGCTCCCTATTTTAAACCATTAGGTAAGGTATTATGTTGTTTTGTTTCTTTGTTTCTTTCATGGATCCTTCTCAGTCTCGAGTCCGAAAGTTCTTGAACTGAGTCTTAGAGACATGTACGTGATTTCACAGTGGTAAGAAGCATTGCAGTGCACCACATTATGAATTACTTTTCTATGACCGTAACAGTTACTTTGGGTTATCTAATTAGACAACTGGCTCATATAAGAGCTACAAAATGGTAGGTTAAAGTACCATTGTGCTATATGAGGTTTATACCCCTCAGAATGGTGGAAGTTCTTGAAAGACTCCAGCATCCTGCAAGAACTTGCTGCCTGTCCACCATCAATACAGCTTTGTAGCTCACTGAGGGTGCATCAGGACTGACAGAGATGCTGTTCCTGCTGGCAGTGTAGGAGGTGATTCTGTACACATGCAAACAGCAAATGGCTGAGGAAGCTGTAGCCCTAATTAGAGCTCAGCTCAAAGTAGGTTACCCGTGTCACCCAGCTGCTATTCCTGAACTGATTATTTCTGCTGAGGAGCGCTGGATGAGGCAGCACTAATCCCTATAAGCTCAGTCCCAGTGCTGTGCTGAAATGTTGGCTGGTGTCCTGCACAGAGCCCTGTGGCTCCTCTGGCACAGCACAGGCTGGGAATGCTGCTCCATGTATAGTGAGGAAAGCCCTTTATACATCAGTGCATGTGTTTGTGTATGTATTAAAAATGTATATATGTACTTTAGGCTATTTAGCTTTTTTTTACTTGGGTTCTTAATTCACTTATTGCACCTTTCAGAAAGTACAGAAATTCCACCTTACCTGACTAATTGTCCTAGCAATGGGCTTTGCAGTAGACTGCCACCAGACTGCATGACATGTAACACAAACTATTCCTGTATATATGGGAAGACGGCAACTTTTGATTGCAAAGTCAAGCCGCATGTTCATTGTGTTGTAAGTAACCTGTTATTCTTAACCCCAGATTTAAGTAATTAAACTGTGGCATCTTATCTTAAAATGCAGAATATTGATTTCTAGATTCTGTTGTAGGCAGGTTTGCCATTCTGTGGTAAGTTTGATCACTCACTGTGAGCTGTTAAAGAGGCAGGCCTGCCCTTCCCTGGTTTGCCTTTCGTGCCCTGGACCTTTTTGTTACCTGGCCATGCCTTTGAGTTAAACCACTCCAAACATTTTGAGAGTGGGGAGGCTAAATATCTGTCAGAGTTACAAACTGACCTTACAGGTGAGACTAAATGAGTCCTCCCTTTGGCAGCAGCCTTAAATTAGAGGAATCAGGAATGCTAAATGTGACTTTGATACCTCTTTGGTGGTTTTCTATTCTGCTTTGTAAAAGGTAGCAAGCAGAACAATTGTTCTTTTGCCCAAAATGTCTACTCATGAAATCTATTTTGATACTGCACATTGATTTTTGGTTTTAATGCTATTGGAGTAATAGTGCTGTTTTTTTACAGGATGAGAATAATCACGAGCAGGAGAACTTTACAATTAACATGACATGCCAGTTTTGCTGGCAGCTTGCCACAAGTGATTATGTCTGTACCAATTCCACAAACTGCATGACAGTTTCCTGCCCTCGACAGCGATACAATGCAACTTGCACAGTCCGGGATCACATTCATTGTCTAGGTAAGGTGGGCAAAGCTGGGTTTCTCTAAAGAATTTTCCACGTATTTTGTAATGGGTGAATACAAAGATTGTTTATATCCTTTTTGCAATAACAGCCTGCTCCTTGATCAATCGACTGAATTTTTTATTGTTGCATTTAATTTTTGAGCATAATATTGACATCTAACTGCAAACATTGGCTTATTATATTGTTGTATACTGTCACACCAGAGAAAACAGTTCTTTTTATTTTTGTCAACTTCTATGAGTTAAACTTACTTGACCCTACTGGTGGTCTGATTCTCAGACCACTAATAGAATCAATATCAAATGTCTCCATAGGCCAGTTAAAGAAAATTATGCTGATTCCATCCCACTAGACTTAATTTTCCCTCTGTTCACTGACTTTTCTGATATGGGACTAAGATTGATGGAACAGAAAACTGCAGGGTATAAATGAGCTTGTGTGTTGACAGTTGTTTCTCAGTTAGTGTCAACCCTTCTCCTTTGGAAAAATATAGTATCTTCTTCCTTGTAATTTTCTTCCTTATCATATGGTCTTTATTTCAGTAAGGTTTTAATATTTTCCAATATTTAGGTAACCGTGTCTTTCCTAAGATGCTCTATTGCAACTGGACTGGAGGTTATAAGTGGTCTACTGCTTTGGCACTAAGGTAAGCAGGAACTATTGGTTGATGTCAAGCTAAAATAGATTAGTTTTCTTTAAAACTTAAGCTTCTATGGTTTTCTGTTTTTTTTTAAAGGTGTGCCAAGTAACATGTATTTCAGATAGTCTAGCTTGAAGTGGTGGGCATAGAATGCTTGAAGGGTTCACATTCAACAGCGCTGGCCATCTTCAGCAAACACAGCTGGGGGAAAAACATTTGGGTACCCAAGCTCAGTTCCTCTAAAAATAATAATAATTAATCATATTTTTATTCTTATAGCATCACCCTTGGTGGATTTGGTGCCGATCGTTTCTATTTGGGTCAGTGGCGGGAAGGTCTGGGAAAACTCTTCAGCTTCGGTGGACTTGGAATATGGACACTAATTGATGTGCTGCTAATAGGTGTTGGGTATGTGGGACCTGCAGATGGATCTCTCTATATCTAAATGTAGGTGCAATGTGTTTCAGAGAGGAGTCGTTGCCTGCAAAGGGTCCTAAATAAACAAGTGTGGAGGTTTGAGCCTTTAAGGTAGAATGAAGAACAACTGTTTGTTCTATATGTGCATACATTTTAATGTACAGTATCTGTACTTGGTTTGCCTTTAACTAAGGTCAAATAAAAGAGTGGATCACTGAGTAAGCTGAAATTCATTTCATTTCTTCTATAGACATGGTATTTTTCTATGAAAAAAAGTTGAGCAGCTAACCAAATTCTCCACTGTGCTTGAACTTGGATGATCTGTCAGGCCCTGCAAAGAGCAGCAAACTAACTTGAATATTGAATTGTTTACTTCATATTTCTACACTTTAACTCTAAATCTAACTCTTTAATTTAAATCAACTCTTTAATTTAACTCTAAAGCTAACTTCCCTAAATATGTCAGGGTTTTTGTTTTTTTAATTTGTGGGAGGATAATTTATTTGCCTGAGTTATGTGGGTAGTATGTAAATCACCATGTTTTATGATGTTAATCACATTATCTTCTTGGTTTGGGACATAGCAATACCTAATATCTGTTTAGGGACTTGACTTTAAATTATGGGGGAGTTTAGAATTAGACTGCAGTATCACTTAAGGCTAAATATTAAATAATTGAAATAGATTTTTTTGATTGTTCTGGAATAACTTTGTTTTGATTAGATTTGACCACCATATCTGTGAAAGTTACAGTTCCTATTCTTGTGCTAGCAAGCTTGCCAAATTACTTTAGAAAAGGGTCGGCAATATAATCGATGAGTTTATCCATGAGGACTTTGTGACGCGATGATGTAGCGGACTGGTGCCATTACAGGACAACCTTGTGTAGTGGCGGTGGATGCCCGCCGTGCGAGCGTGCCCCCGCCCGGGGCCGCAGCGGCCGCTGCGGTAGCACTGCGGCGCCGTCGGGCTGGAAATGCTGTCGCTTCAATAAACTGTCCCTTGGAGCTTTCCTGGCGTTAATCGTGACACCGTTTGTCGCGGTCTCGGCTCGGTCCCGCTGCAGCGGCGCGGGCGGAGCGGCGCCGCGGCCCCGCGCTGTGCGGTGGCGGGGCGGGCCCGGGGCGGTGCCGCCGCCGAGCCCCGGCTCGTCCCGCCCCCGGCACAGGAGCCGCCATGGCGGCGGAGCGGGACCGCGAGCGGGAGCTGCGCTTCTACCGACGGCTGCCCAAAGCGGTGAGCGGGGGCGGCGGGCCGGACCCTCCTCCGGCGGCGGCGGGCCCGGGCTGCAGGCAGAGGCAGAGCGACAGACGCTGCTGCAGTCCCGGAGTCCTTCCCGAACGCGCGCTTTCTAAGGGCCTTATCCCACCGCAAAATGCAGTCGGGTGGTTGCCTGTCCGGTTTGTGTACCGACCTTACTAATCTAATTGCAATTAAATCAGTTGAGCGCGATCTTCATTTTCTCTTTTTGACCTATTTCCCCTCAGTCTAGCAAAGAACTCTGGCTCAGATAACGCTTTTTCTCCATGTCCCGAGGGTGTGCCTTACTTCTTGCATATCAGTGCAAGCCTTCCGTAGGGGTGTGTGTGGATATATCGGGGCTCGTGTGCCGCACTCACCAAACCCCGAGAGCACGTACAGAGCCCTGTACAGGCAGTGCACGGAGGCACCAGTAAACCCACTGCTGGCCACACCATTCTTGCATTCCAGCGTTCCTTTTCACTAAATTGCTTTTCAGGATGTATGTTTAATGTCTGTCAGGATTCTGTGAGGTAACTGTAAGCTTGTGAAAAATACAACACAGTTGTAGTACTGTATATCTGGCTCAGTCACCAGAATCTGTAAGCAGCCACAGCTTCTGGTGAGTTACAATTTTGACATGTTTTCCAGTGTAAACATGAAGGGAAGTTTTTTTTTTTTTCCTATTGAGAATGGATTTGTATAGGGAGACGAGAGGTAGGTAACAAAGTAGATGCTTTGTCGATACATTCTGAATGAGTTGGGAGGGCGCTAGAGGCCTATTCCTTAAGTCGAAGACGGGAGAAAAGGAGCAAAGGTGAAGTGAGGAGTGGAGCTGAGCATCATAGATGTGGAGCCCAAAGTCAGGATGTCAATAGAAAATCAGGCAAAGGAGTGCAGTTACTGCAGCTACCATTCATGGCAGAATCTTGCTGCATTTCTGATGTGAGTTTAAACTTCAGAGTATGAACAAAAGTAAGGGGAGTGGGTAGACACCTGTTGCTATATGTAAATGATGGACATGTACATTTAACTTGCAGTGGATGGGGAGAGTTCTTGAATCCTTAGTGTACTTTTTTGTAATACTGAGGCAGCTATTGGCTTCCTCCTCACCTTGGATCACACCACCCCAAGAATTGTCTGGAGAGCTCTTTGCTGAGCCAGCTGTGCTCCCATGCAGACCAGAGCCAACAGCAGCCATGAGAGAAATAAGACAGTTCTCAGCTGAACCAGTGCTTCCAAAAACCTAAGGAAGTTATTATTAGCCAAAATGCAGATAACTGTTATTTTCAAACTCAGAGTGAAACACTGCTGTAGGATACAAGAACAGTAGTACAAACAAGGTGCAGAAGCCATCCTTTTCATAAGTCCATAGGATTTTTATTTCTGTAGGAACTCCATGCTCATTTGAATGGCTGTATCAGTACTGCTACTATGAAGAAACTCATGGCCCAGAAGCCAAACCTTCAGATCCAGAATGGAATGACTGTGATTGACAAAGGGAAGAAAAGAACCTTAGATGAGTGAGTATATGCATGTGTGTGATGAACATTTACCAAAGATTTTTTCAATTAAGTTGAAAACAGAAATGTATGGCCTTACTCACTAACTGCAGAAAATATGGTTTTAAGCTTTGCAGCATAATCTCATAGATTTTTTTTTATATTTGTATCTACAGAGTAATTTCTTCAGTGCTTGCAAACTAAAAAGAAAACTGTTGATTAATTGCTTCTTTAAAATATTGAAATTTTTCACTTAGATCATCTGCTTTTAAGAGAAAATTGACTCACCTAGTTTCCTTTTTTGGAAACTTCATGTTTTCCTTTTCCTTTAAAAAACTTTGTGGTAGTAACAACTTTTGTTAGGCATGCTTTGTTAGTATCTAAAATCAGAAATTGTTCAGATGTTTCTTTGTATTTCAAGATACAGTCAAGCTAGTTGACTCCAGTGGGTAGGTGTTTTTAAAATGTAGCTTTTTTTTCCTAAATACTCATTCAGTGTCTTTCCAATTAATTTTTTTTTCTATTTTATTTTAGATGTTTTCAGATGTTTCAGATCATCTATCAGGTTACCACGAGGACTGAAGATATTTTACTGGTAAATTAATTAAAAGTTCACTTAAAACAAGCAAGCAGTACACACAGTCACAACCAGATGGATTAAGAGCATTGGATTCCAAGTAATAATATCAACAATGGTCCTTTTCAGTTGAAGGTCAGAATAATTACTGTAAAATACTTGAAATGTCTTCACTATCCCTGAAAGAATCAAATGTGCCTTCTGTATGGTAGCATTTCCACAGACATGGGGACTACTAAAAACACACTGGGCCTGAAAACACTGCAAATGTTTCACAACAAAAAATAACTGGGTCTTTTAGTTGTAAAGGAAAATATAACTAATTATAAGTATCACTTTTACGATTTTTACTTAATCAGATAACTAAAGATGTCATTAAAGAATTTGCTGATGATGGTGTTAAGTATCTGGAATTGAGAAGCACTCCGAGAGAAGAAAATTCCACAGGTACAGTCTGTTCTGGTAGTTAATTTGTGATCTTGCAATATAAAACTTAGTTGAAGACTATGTTATTAATAAGTAAAGGCAAATTTAGTTGGCTCAATAAAAATATTCTTCAAATATGAAAGCTAAGATTTAACCAGGTAAAAGCAGGTCACTTTCCTATTAGATTTTAGAGGAACAAAATGGGTTGGTCATAACAATCCTGAGATTGGGTTATTCACTTGAGTCTGCTGTTTTTAATAGCTGATATATTTTACTTTTGATGTTTTGTTTTTTCTTTTCTTTATGGTTTAGTAGAAACTCATAATAGAAGTCCTATTGTGATTCTCTGGTTCACACAAAGTCATTTTAATTTTTCCACATGCTTAGGAGGAGGTTTAGTTCAAATATGTGCTTCACAGTAAAGCTATATTTACAGATAGAATTAGAATTACATGGGTTAGAAGACTGTATTGTCTAAAATCAAAGTTGCAACATGAAACTTAGGAGACTAGAAACTTAGAGAGCTGGGTCTGCAATATAATAAAAATAATTTAAAATATGTTTGCAGGTATGACCAAAAGGATGTATGTTGAAACCGTACTTGAGGGTATAAAGCAGTGTCAAGAGGAGGGCTTGGATATAGATGTAAGGTAAATAAAGCATGTGGAACACCTCTGTTTCAAGGTTTTGTGTAGTCTGATGCTTGGTCATGCTTGCAGAGTGGTTTACAAGCCAGCAGTATAGGAAAGAAAAGTGTTTTTAAACCAGATTACATGGAGTGTAATCCTGACTGTTTATCTTCCTTTTTACTCCTAAAGAAGAAAACTGGGTAAAGCCTCTCATCTTTAAGACTGTCCATTCTTTGCAACATTGTCAGTAAAAGGATTTTCATGGAGATGACTCCTTTTTCACAGCTTAGCTTCATTGCAAAGGTTTTGTTTGATTAGCTGTACAAGCAGCCTCCTGTAAAGAAGAACTGGTCCTGACCATCTGAAGTTTCAGAAGGTGACAGTGGCTGTTTGGAGACAGTTTGCTCTCCTGCCTTTTATAGCCTCTGTAACAACCCTTACTAGATTTATTTCTGAAAGCTGAAGATTTTTCATCTTCCATGGGTGTTATTGCATGTCTTGGGCCAACTTATTTATCTGTTTGTGACCCTCTACACTGTGGTACCTTCATTCCTAGAACAGTTTCCTATACACATACTCTTTATACTCAGTCATGAAGGATAGGAATTGCCATTTTTTGTTGGTATCAGATCTGTTGAGCTCCTGATATTACAGCTTGTAATAATTGAATTTAATAATTTAATACATCTCTGTCCCAGGCTCTTAATAGCAATAAACAGAAGAGATGGCCCAGCAGTTGCCAAGCAAACTGTAAAACTTGCTGAAGAGTTCCTGCTTTCCAGTGATGGGGTTGTAGTAGGACTTGACCTCAGTGGTGATCCCACTGTAAGTTTTTGGTTTATTTTAGTCTGTTCTTGAAGATAAATATAAAATGTTGTATAACTGCAGGTGGTTCTAACCAGAGGTTTTTCTCACAAATTTTTGTCTAATTTTTGTGCCTAGCTGGAATGGATTTATACTGGGTTAATCCTTGTTGCTCTCAGGGGTAGATACTCTTAGATTGGTATGTGACTGAGAAAAGTACCATTGAAATTCAGTGTTATCTGGGAATTGTGTGCACCTGAGTTGTCCCAGTCAGGTTAACTGGGTGGAGGCAAGCTGTCAATAGTTTACATTTTGTTTAGCTCAACAAAATGTTCATTTTGTATTAAGAAAGCAAAAATGTTTGAGGACAGCTGTCAAGCTGAAGTGAAATAGCTCTAGGTGGCAGCTGTGTAAAAGGTATCAAAATCAAGACAATTGGCTTGTAAATCTTAGGCATCATCTGACCTACTGGTGTTTGATCCATTGGTCTAAACCGTATGGCAGAGGCTTGTTTGACTTGCTGCATTGCAAACTGAAGTAAAGGGAAAAGTGGAATAATTTAAATATTAATGTATTTGAATGTAGTGTTTGGATACTGCTAGACTTATTTATAGTAATGACAGGGATTTTGTCAAATAAGCTGTAGAAAAGTGATGTGTTCCTGTTTTCCAGGCAGGACATGGTCAAGATTTTTTGGAACCACTCTCTGAAGCAAAAAAAGCAGGTCTGAAGCTGGCACTGCATCTTTGTGAGGTAAAATGTTGGGGTTTTTTTATTTTATTTTGCTGTTTCTCTGTAGTTGTCATTTTGTGAAAATCTTGACGAAATTAAAATTACCTTCTGTGCATTTTGGACTTCTCAGACCAAAGTATTAATGGTTTGGGGCATTTGAAAAGAGACAAGAAAACAAGGAGAAATAGTCAACCTTTTGTCCTAAATCTGAACAGGCAGATTATTGCTTCCTGTACTATATCCAGTGGGGGTTTAGGTCTGAAATTGAAATTAGGAGCTTTCTAAGAGATCCACTGCTTTCTTACTGGTATTTTATCAGAAATCATGTGTAGTGAAATCCTTACAGTTTCATGAGCAGTGAGCTCTGTAATTCCACTGGGATCATAGAAAGAGTTGCTCATCTGTTCAAAGGGTGGCTGGAATCGGCTTTGAGAATAAATACTGAATATAGTTACAATAAATACTGAAGATAAGTTATTTTTTCAGGAAATTAAGCAGGACATATGATGTTATCAGAATATTTATACTTGTTTCTATTTCACTAACACTTTCTTTTGAATGAGAGACGTCATGAATGTAGAACTGAAAGTCCATTGTAGTTATATAATGTGCTGTTTTATGCTGCCTTGACAGAATGTGAAATATATCCTCTCTAGATTCCAAATCAAGAAGAGGAGACCAAGATTCTCCTGGGCCTGCCTCCTGACAGAATTGGACACGGAACATTTCTCAACTCCACAGCAGCAGGCTCTGAAGAGATAGTGTCATTGGTTCAGCAGAATCATATACCTATTGGTAAGGAAAAAAATATTTGCCATGACTTGGTCTCTGGATATCAGAACAGGATATGTACAGCTGATCCAGTGACACCAGTTTGTCTCTGACCAGAGGTGACTTGGACAAATATGGCAGTGAGACTTGCCCATGAAGGTACACTCATGATGCTTGGGGGGGTTTTGGCATCTTTGTGGCAGCAGACAACAGCTGATGTTTCAGATGGAAGCAAAACCAATTCCCAAATCATAATTTGTCATTACTGTACAAGACTGTGCAGTGGTTATGTATCTGGTTTGCAAGTTTCCTAAATTTTATACCCCAAAGAAATAAATTAGCAAACTTTTCTCAAAAGAAATTACAAAAGAAGCATAGAAAATCAAGGAAACAACAGTAGCTGATTTTAATTTTTATTCAGGACCTTTCTAAGTCAATTAACATGTCTCTTATTTCATTATATGTCCTAATTTCTTTTTCTCTTTTTTTCCTTAGAATTTTGCATGACATCAAACATAAAATCTCAGACAGTGCCTTCCTGTGACAAACACCATTTTGGATACTGGTACAGCATGGGCCATCCTGCAGTGCTTTGTGTAAGTTTTTTGATTTTTAAGCATGTATTTGACCAAAGGGCCAAACTTGTGAGGTTGGAGAAGTCTTTCTCTGTTTATGGATCAGAACTGACTTACAATTTCTGACCTTGTAGCAAATAATTTTCTTCTATGCAATCATAATATTATGTTTGAAAAACGCTTTTAATTCAAATGGGAATTGCTAGTATTTATCTTGGTTCTATTTTAAAGCTAGGACTTTTTTCTGTGGGATAAAATGATCAGCTATACAAGCAGTGAACTTCATAGCTCTTTGCACAATGGCAGATTTAAAACCCATGGCTCCAGTGCTTGCATATGCACCTCTGCTTACCGGGTGTTCATTATGCTGGGTGAGAGCTCCTGCTCTTGATAATTCTCTTGATAGCTCATTGAGGTCTTTAAGCATTGCAGGTGCCAAGTACTTGTGCTGCCATTGGCAGGGTTATAGTGTTATCCTGTTAGTTTAACCCCCATAACCCATAGCATAGTCCAAGTGTGTGTTTACCTATATATGTATTTTATAGCACTGCTTATATGGGGAAAGGGAAAAGAGGAATAAGGAGACCTGCACATACTGACATACCTTGAATATATGCAACATTTGATAGCCATCTTTCTAGCAATTTTAGTAGGAAATCCTATTTTCTTTATAAATCATGACATCATTTTAAGAAGTTTTCTTATATATTTGAATAATTTATTCATTTGTAGTGAAAATAGGGCAAAAAAAGAATTAAATAATCATGAACAGATGAAAGAACAGTGGGATAAAATGTGAGACAGCAAGATAAAACTGGTTTGTATGTTTAGAAGAAAAACCTTTTTGATATAGAGAAACTAATTTAAACTTTTTTATTTCTTTCCTTTCAATTTAACTCTAGACTGATGATAAAGGCATCTTTGCAACTGATCTATCACAAGAATATGAGCTAGTTGCAAAAACATTTAATCTAACTCGCTCACAGATGTGGGATCTTTCCTATGAATCAATCAACTATACTTTTGCTTCAAATGCAGTAAAATCCAAGCTCAGGGAACAATGGTGTAAGCTGAAGCCAGCTATGTTTGATTAATCAAACTGTTGTCCTAAATAGCTCGGGTGTATTAGCTGAGTTAATAAGCTTTTTTTACCAAAGTCCCTGGCTTTTTTCAGACCTCAGGGTTTTAAGCCCAGCGATAAACTGCCTGTGTGAAATGAAGGCAACTGGAATGCATCTCTTGTAACTGGGGACAGAGGTAAATCTTCTTTTGGTAGGTGAGAAGGGCTCTCAGCCTGTGACTGAAATGCCAGATGTGTTGTCGCCTTGTTTCTCTTGAGTTGATATAACATTTAAAAAAATACTTAGTTGCGATATGTTATCATAATATAAACATTTAAGAGGTGGAACAAAATCAAGGTAGAGCTATTGATGTTTAAAACATCTCTGTTGGCATTTGGCCAAGCAGTTTGAATGTGCAGTGTGTAATTTTTGGGTTTGTATTTTTTTTATGTTTTAAGCTCTTGATTGAATGTGAAGACAGAAACAAACTCAGGGAGAACTAAATATTTATACCAAGGATTTAAGAGTGTATCTGGTTTTATTGCTGTATGTGTATGACTAAAGCTGCTGTGGATTGAGTATCATGTGGAGGTCTCTGCCGGTGCCCTGGGCACTGGTGGTGTGTAGGCACTTAAGAATCTTGAATGCCTTCAGTAACCAAGCTACTTGGCAAAGTGGTCTTATTCTTAAAATGCTTTTTAGAATTGCTGTTTGTTGTGTAAAAAAAAGCAATAAAAATAGCCTCAAGCTCCATGTTTTTGAAACCACCACTTCAAGGTGTGCATGTGTGTGTTTGAGCTCTACAGAAGAGAAGCAGGATTCTCTGGGGTGAGTCCCTGGAGCACTGTGCTGCCTGCCAGCCTCTCCCCTGCTGCTCTGGCAGGCCCTGGCTCTCCCTGTCCTGGGCAGCCTCAGGATTCACTCTGCCCTCTCCAAGCAGTGCCTGTGTGCTCTGGTGCTGAGAGCTCACAAGGTCTGAATGTGCACATGCTGCAGTTTGTGTAATGGGAGTTGGGAGGTCACCTGGAGGATTACATTTGTGTGCAGTGAAAGAACCAGGAAAGTACGTGGGTGGCTAAAGAGCAACACACAGAGCTGGAATTTCTGTATATAGGAGTCTAACTGTGAGTTGCACAGCAGAAATGTTGCACTTAGGAAGTTGGACAGGATGTGGACATTTGGAATGAAGAATCACCATCTGATGAAACCTTTGTCATGCACAGTTCCCAAGATCACCATTGCAACTTGGAACCCTCTGGGCTAGTTTTCCAGAGTTTGACTTTTGTAAGTGGAACTGCAGTTTCCTTCCTTGACTTCATGTAGCATTATAGTTAATTTTAATTTAAGCACTTCTTACTGACCCTACTTGTCAAATTCTGAGTTAGCAGTGACATAACTACTGTTTAGTTTATAATATTGTATAAAAATGACTGTGACACACAGAATGAAGCATCATCACAGAATTAACCATCAGTAATGGGGCAAAGATTTATTTTCCTGAATGCAATGGAAATTTTGAGTAAATGCTACTAGAATTTCACATGGTATAAGATGAGGTTTAAGTTATCTATTCATGTGCAGCTCAACTTATTTTTAAAGTAAACAAAATAGATCTAGTGTTAATATTTTTATTTCCATCTGATTATACAAGAGAACACTTACAGAGCAGTCTCCAGTGCTCAGAGTCTTTACTCATCAAAATGCACACTGGTTGAAGATAAGCAATCTTGAACAGTACTGCTTTGGTGATGTATGTGAGAACAACTGCTCACTGTGGCCTTGGTTTCTCAGTTCCTTCTGAGGCAAACACAGGCAATCTTCAAAGCCTCAGCTCCCTGTGATGAGACTGGTAATATTCCATAGCTTTTCATACTACAACCACTGAAGCATAAGTACACACTGCTTCTCAGGATCATAGCTTGGCAAATAATGTACTTACATCAATGATTTATATGTCTGCTTGAATATTTAGGTGTTTCAAACTAATACATTAAAAAGAATGGATGCAGTTAGAGGCCCTGCATTAGCTAAGTGATTCAGCTGATTAAAAGGCTAGCATGTCCCTCCTGTGAGGCTTAGAGAGTGGGCACTGGTTAGATTGGAGTGGAGAGGGCTCTGGGGGAGGATCTCATCAAGGTCTTTAAATATCTGATGAGAAGAAGTAAAGAAGGTGGAGCCAGGCACTTCTCAGCAATACCCAGTAACAGGAAAAGGGGCACAGACTGGTTCTGTGTGGGTACTTGAACATGGGAACGCTCACCCAGACAGGCTGGGGAGTCTGTCCTTGCAGATACTGAAACCTATCAGTGACTTGTAGCTTCAGCAAAGGAGGTGGACTGGGCAATCTCCAGAGATGCCTTCCAACCTCATCTATTCTGTGAGGAAAATATACAAATATACAAATGATAAAGTCTCTATATAAATACAAAAGCTTTTCAAATTAAATACTGACTTAACTGAGTCACTCAAGTGACAGGTTTTCACCAGGTTTGGTCACCAGCAGTTGGCTGATTAGTGAAACTGTTTTTAAAGAATAGTCTATTCACCCTTCATAGCCCTCCTTCTTTCACAGCCATTGTGGAATCCTTTGGTGCCATCAGGACCTTTAGGCAGCCGCAGCACCCCTACAGGAAGACCGTCTGCATTTTGTATTTTCCGAACCAACATGGGGCTGCTGACAGGACTCTTCTCTTGTGTCAGAGTTTGGGCTTTTCTTCTCTGCACCCAGGGGCTCCCAGAAGGAGTGATGCTGCTGTCTGAGGAGTAATCAGCGTGTTTCCTTGGAATTTCAGGGCTAGTGCTTGGGTTAACCTTGCTGTCTTCAGCCAGCGGAGACTTTTTGGTTACTTTTCTTAATGAAGATGGACTGTTCCAAGGACTTGATCTGGGTGACATATTGGGACTCAGGTGGTTGTTTGGGTGGATGACAGGGCTCAGATTACTCGTATTTGTTGTGATACGTTTGCGTCCTGACAGTGGTGACGTAGGATTGCTCTCTGGGTCAGAAGAGCTGTTTGCTGAAGATTCATCACCAGCAAACTGAAGTTCCTCAACTCTCTTGTTAAGGGATCGAGTCTTCTTAAGGCTCTTGCTGGTATCTTCATCACGGTTCTTGTCTTTGGGAACTTTTTTCTTTGGTGGTTTCATGCCTATTTGGACAACTTTCATGCCTGTCTCTTTGTTTTCGGCACACATGAAGTCATGAGCACGTACAGCTGCTTCTACTTCTTCAAATTCTATAATTGCACATTCCTGGGTTCCCAGCTGGGTGTACCGACTGCTGACCCTCCTGATATCAGGGGGGAGATCCCTGCCAGGCTTGAGAATACGAACTGATGCAATTACACCAAAATTTACAAAGGCTTTGAGAAGATGCTCCATTATCCTTTCTTGAATGCATCCATTTTCTTCCTTTTTAAGGGCCTGCAGCTCAGAAATCATGTGGATATCATACACCAGTAGCATCCTGGTAGGGACATTTTCACTTGGAAACAATGGAACTGGAGTATTTCTTCGAACCTTTTTGTTATCATCATTGAGCTCCAGAGTGTTGGAGTACTTCAGTGCATAGGCTGTGGTTCTCCAGTCACGCGTAAGGTGTTTCACCTTTGGGACAAACACAGGTTAATCCCCACAACTGAACAAACCCAATCAAACTAGTTACTGAATTTTAAGGCAGATGCAGGCTTCAGTCTACAAGCAGAACCCTGGATTTAAGTTTCATGTGGCAGACTTAGTGAGAAAGTAAAGAGTTTTCTTGCTATAATGGACATTTGTGAGCTCCTGTCAAGCTCATGTCCTGTTGAATCAAATTAAAACAGGAACTGGCACTAAAGCTCAAACTGGAAATCATAATCTGAAAGCCTGCTCACATAGTGCTTGGTCATTACACAACTAGGCCTGAACCATGATCAAAATGCATGTTCTATGGATGCTACATTTGCCAAACAAGAAGTTTAG